CAATCTCTACCTTAAATTCTGAACATGTAGAAAACATCATGTAACCATGAGGTGAAGTTAAACAAACCCCTTGTTTTTATATAAGCAAAGATAATTTGGATCTTGCTCTCTTTTCATGTATCCATTCAGTGAGGTGAAGGAAAGTGAGCTAGCTGATTCAAGTTCAAGCAACTTGAACGGAGAAGTTCCATCATCTATCACTTTGGTCAAAAAGCAGTTTGCTGGTAAATATGCCATATCAGCCGAGGAGTTTACACCTGAAATGGTTAGGCTTGCAAAATATTATTCACTTCATCTCCAAAGCTTTAATTTGTTCTTCTTAACCTACTTAGCTACAATGAGATTGAGTATTGAACCTTCTATACCTCTCCGTGTTGCTATATCTCTGAACTATGTTTACGAATGGTATGTCTAATTTATGCATGGGGACATTTCTCTCTCTCCTAGGTTGGTGCTAAATCACGCAATATCTCATATCTGAAAGGAAAAGTGCCATCTTGGGTTGGGATACCCACGTCAGTTGCCCTTCCATTTGGAGTATTTGAGATGGTTCTTGCAGATAAACTAAACAAGGTTATAATAATTCTGAACTTCAACAATATCTCGCTGCTTTTCTAGCGAACGCATCAATGCAATTTGTTTACAACGACTTCATTTGTGGGTTATAATTCCATTTTGAAAGTAGTTTCTTAAGAAGTCATTTAGCATTTTTTTTAACTAGAGGAAACAGTTTTGCAACCATTTAATATTCTGTAATGGTTTCCATTAACGTGATTATTAAATGTGTTCAGTAATGTTATTTTATTTGATTCTTAATGATATTAAATTTTTAAATAATAACTCTTCATTCTAATTACATTATTTAGTATATATGTAGTTATGGTATTATTTTAATAATATTAAATTCTCAGGAAGTGGATGAGAAATTGCAAATTTTGAAGAAAAAGTTAGGAGACTTTGGTGTACTTGAGGAGATTCGTAAGACAGTTCTACAGCTGAGGGCACCACCCCAATTGGTATGTATTTTACTGGTTGAGCTTCATATGTTCTTTTCTGTTATGCTTTCAGTCCCTACTGGATAGTATCACTAGTAGCAGTGATAATAACTTGAAAATATATTGTTGAGTCGTTCTCTGGATGAGAAGTTTTCATATTTCCAAATCCTCAGACCAAGAAAATTTTCATTCGCATTCTTCCATTATTACCTATACCTCCATTTGAATATAAATTTTCTCAAGAATCTTTTGCCACCTTTACTTCATCATATGTAAGAAAATGACCGTGTGCCTGAATTGGATATTTCTTTGAGAGGCAATCGATCAGTTTTACTTCAATTTCTTTTTACTTCAGGTGCAAGAGCTGAAGACCAAGATGCAAAATTCTGGAATGCCTTGGCCTGGAGATGAAAGTGAACAAAGGTGGGAACAAGCATGGACTGCTATAAAGAAGGTATACCATTTTTCTGCCAACAAAGAGCCTATCCCTCTAATTTTGACTTCTACAACATGCCACGTTATTTGAATTAGGGGTGAGTATTCAATTGGGTCGAGTCAAGTAAAAAAATTTTGAGTTAGTTGAGTTGACGAGTCCTATTTTATAACTCAAACTTTATTTGAAAAATTTCGAATCGAGTTGTTCGAGTTTCTGTTTAAATTCAATTGTAAATATTTATAATATTGTGGTACTATTTAATTCCATTTTAAACAGTTTTCTTAGTCATATACCATATACATATATATTTCTTCATATTTTTTTCATATGCCATACACATATATAATGCAAAGTTGAGGGACTCGACTCAAACTTAAAAACCAATCCACTAGTTATTAAAAATTGAGTTATTCGAGTTCTATTTTATAATTCGACTCAAATTTAAATTTTTTTCGAGTTTCTAAAATTACGAGTCAAGTTTTTATCAAATCGGATTTTTTTTACCCTAATATGGATAGCTTCTGACCAATAGTTGTACTCCACTAACTGCAATTGTAGGGTCTGCACTAGCAATATCATTGTCCTTTAAATTGTACCTGCATCCAAACAGGCGGAAGATACCTTATCTTTCTTCTGCATTTCATTTTTCGTTCTCCTAAAAATATAATATCCATACACATTATTTCTTTCTTTTTGCATTCAGCCACGCTTATCTTACTATCTGTATTTTGGCCTTCCAAAATATATTCCTTCTTTTCACATAGTTTTAAATTTAAGTTTTTGGCAGACTTGAAGTCACGGATTTCTATTTAGATGAATATCATATACCTATTTGTTTCATGCATTCAAACTAGGTATGGGCTTCAAAATGGAATGAGAGAGCATATTTCAGCACCAGGAAAGTCAAACTAGATCACGACTACCTCTGTATGGCTGTCCTGGTTCAGGAAGTAATTAATGCTGATTACGCATTTGTTATCCATACTACTAATCCATCTTCAGGGGACTCGTCTGAGATCTATACCGAGGTATGTATCTCCATTCATCATCTTTTTTCGTGGTCTGCCGAGGAAGAAAAAGGAATCATTTGCTCTCCGTTTGACGTAGGTGGTGAAAGGACTCGGAGAAACTCTTGTCGGAGCTTATCCAGGTCGTGCTTTGAGTTTTGTTTGCAAGAAAAACAATCTCGACTCTCCTCAGGTAAAACATACTTGCGTCAATACCGGATAACAAAGAAGATAACCATAAGTACAATGCCCTTTTATCATATTATTGACATAAAACTAGATTTTATGACAGAGTAGCTATCATCTCCACTGATGATGTCCATGATATTTCAGGTTTTGGGATATCCGAGCAAACCGATCGGTCTCTTCATAAGGCGTTCCATTATCTTCCGATCTGATTCAAATGGTGAAGATCTAGAAGGTTATGCGGGTGCTGGCCTATATGATAGGTAATATCATATCCTCCGAACTCTAATGTAGAAAGACCACAGTGTTACGTATAATTCGATGTGTTTGGTTTTTTGCTTCGAGATCGTCCCGTTCTTAAAAATGGAAAACTATTTATCAACGACTAATATTTTAATCGAACGGTTCTTTGTTTCGGGATTGTCCTTCCATTTGGATTCAACTTTCATGTGCAGTGTGCCAATGGATGAAGAGGAGAAGCTTGTTCTCGATTATACATCCGATCCATTGATAAACGACGGCAAGTTCCAACGAGAAACCCTTTCCAGCATTGCTTGTGCGGGGAACGCGATCGAGGAACTCTATGGATCTCCCCAAGACATCGAAGGTGTCATCAGGGACGGGAAGGTCTATGTTGTCCAGACGAGACCCCAGATGTGAGGTTCCCGTTGTTTCTTTATAGTATGATCATATTCTTTTGGCAGGGTCTTTGTCTATGCCAAGGTTGTAAAATGAGCAAAAAAAGACAAAAAAGTAACATAGAACACCGAATAGAGGCTGAAAATAAAATGCAGAAAGAACGAATAAAGGATAGTTAAACCACAGATCTAAAAACTTGTAGGCATGTACGTATGTATTATATAATAATGCTGTCCAGGGATTCTATGCACCCTGCTATTTTCTTGTTCTTACAGTATATTATTAAGTTTCTAATTGTAGTCCCAAGTCATTGTATGTTCAAATAATCCTATCATTAAACTTTTAAAAATTATAAAAATAATAATATTCATTGAATTATAATAAAATAATTATTAAATTTTATTGAGTTATTTTAGTGTGTTTATTTTTATTTTGAATAGTCCGAATGGTAGTAATGTAGTATATGTTCAGAACTTTCTTAATCTATTGACAATGTTCAGAACTTCAAGGAGAACAATATTATTTTAATCTTATGATCTCTAATATATTTTACTCTTTACGTTATTGATGTGGTTGTTTATTAATCTTTAGGTCAAAATGATTATCTTATAATATGGTTGTTTATTAACCTTTTTCCCACATATAATAATTCGGTTTGTTATTATAATAAGTCATCGAATTTCCAAGTAAAATTATTATGTCTTCGATCTGGATAAAAAAACCAATAATGCTATTTAAATTGATTAAAAGACTGATTAATGAAGGAATGGTGAAATTTCAAAAGAAAAAAGTTAGTTAAAAATTGAACTCAATTTTTTTATTGTGTCATTATTCACATATGAATTATTTTGTTCATATCAATGTAGATAGAAAAAATATGTTATCAAATGATTAATTGTCATATCAACTATGTTGTAACAATTAACGTTGATAGAAAAAATATACAATTAAATGATTTCAAGAATAAAATTAATACTATTAAAAATATGGATAACATTAATAATTTGGTTTATTTAAAAGTAAAATGACCTCTTAAATTAAAATAATTGATCAATTTAATTTTAATTTAATTGATATTTTATTTATTTAAAAATAAATAAAATAATGGATTCAAGTAGTATAATATACGTGTCAACGCATATTGTTTCGATCAGAGATTAAAAGCCGCGTGATCTAGTGATGAACAATTGAAAAAGACAAAGACTAAAACAAACGTCCGTCTCAGCTTTTAAATTTCCAATCCCATCCCTTTATTTTATTGGGTTTCTAAATTTATCAACACAAATAGCAAGCGAAAGATTCTGGGTTTCTTTAAATGGAATGCATGGATCTAATATTCTATCTTTATCTTTGCCATAATTTAGTGGGAACCCATCACTCCAACCGCGGAAAGGAGATAATGTGCACAATTTTAGAGGGTGGTGGTGGGGCGGGCGGATTTACCAGCAGGACATATGGCATCTACGAAACCCCAAAATGGATCTTCATTGGTCACTTTGGTATATTTGGAATTCATGAGGAATTTGTGGGACAAAAACCATTTTCAAAGTTTCAAACTCAAATCCCCATGAATGCACTCATAACAACACAAAGAAAGAAAGAAAAATAACCAAAACAAAAACTTGGCCTCCTTCTATGGTAGTATCGTGTATCATTGAAGGGTTTTAGCTTTTTTTGTACATAATTATTGTTTTCTTTTGGGGGGAGGAGTGAGGGGGCTGTTTTTTTTAGCTTTTTAGAAGATGATAAGATGGTGGCTTTATGCTTTGCAATTAGTCGAGCTGATTGTTAGTGCATTGGTGCATATGCTATATGGGTTTTATATATTTAGCACGGCAGTCGCCGGAGACCTTTCTCAGAATTTAAGTGAACAATTTTTCAAGGGAAATCTAGAGGTTAAAAGAGAAGATCCCAGTGGAACCAATGTTGATGATCTGCCTCCTATTGTATTGGTTCATGGCATTTTTGGATTTGGCAAAGGAGTATGTTCTTTTTTCTTCCTTTCCCCCCCTTTTTTATGTTAATTGATATGGGATTTTAGTTTTAATCTGGAACTTTTGACCTGTTTTTAGAAGAGATTAGGAAGTTTTTCATACTTTGCTGGGGCAGAGAAGAAAGATGAGAGGGTTCTCGTGCCTGATTTGGGATCTCTCACCAGCGTATACGATCGGTTTGGCCTCTTAAACAGCATGAATTATTGCCATTTATGTTTGTTTTTCTGTGTTTTTGTTATATGGGATTTGGTTGGTTTTTCCAGGGCACGTGAGTTGTTCTATTATTTAAAAGGAGGGCAAGTTGATTATGGCGAAGAACACAGCAAAGCTTATGGCCACTCGCAGTTTGGACGAATTTATGAACAAGGCAAGCAGAAAATTTACCCTGATTTGTATTTAATTATTATTAATCTATCTCTGTTTTAATTCGACAAAATATGCATTTGTTTTACCATTGTGATGCAGGGCATTATCCAGAATGGGATGAAGATCACCCTATTCACTTCGTTGGCCATTCGGCCGGTGCTCAGGTTGTTCGTGTCTTGCAACAGATGCTTGCCGATAAGGTTAGTAAATTTCCCATTCATACGACAAAACCAATCAATTAGGGACGGGAATTCAATCGAGTCTTGTCCCGTTTATAAAATTCGAGTCTAATTGAATTGTTCAAGTTTTTGTTTAAATTTAATATTGAATATTTATAATGTTATGATACTAATTTAAACGATTTTCTATAAACATATCATATATTTATTTGAATTCTATTTATAACTCAAACTTTATTAAAAAAAAATAGTAAAATTGAATTTATGAAATTACAGATTAAATCAAATCAAAAAGTTCAATTTTTTTCTGAATTGAGTTAAGTTTTGCTCCTTGCTAATCTGTTATGGACTTCATTCTCCTCATTGTATAGTTTTTTTTGTTTCCCCAGGAATTCGAAGGGTATGAGTATACTTCTGAGCACTGGGTTTTAAGCATAACATCCTTATCCGGGGCTTTCAATGGCACCACCAGAACTTATTTCGACGGCATGCAGTATGTTCCCTTAACGCCGAAAACTGCTTTCTCCGATTGATTTTTCTTTTTCCTTTTCAGGCCAGGCGATGGGAAAACGATGAAACCTGTAAGTCTGCTTCAGCTATGTCGAATAGGAGTTACAGTTTATGACCGGTTAGATATCCCCTGGCTAAAGGCTTACTATAGTTTCGGGTTCGATCATTTCAACATGTCAAGGAAAAAACTTGGTCTTTGGGGTCTTGTTGATTGCCTCTCGGGCAATGCAGGACCTTTCACCACCGGAGATTGGATCCTTCCCGATCTCACGCTTCAAGGATCAATGGAAATGAATTTCCGTCTTCAAACGTTCCCCAACACATTCTATTTCAGCTACGCCACCAAATGTACACGGAAGATCCTCGGCGTCACCGTCCCTTCCGGCATTCTCGGTATACACCCGATGCCCTTTATACGAGTACTACAGATGAGCCAATGGCGCCATCCTCTTGATGTTCCTCCCCCTTACAAAGGCTACAGGTATGTGTATGCTTTCTGTTGAGATTATGGAGTCATGGTCATTGTGATGAAATTTATGGGAGTAATTGCAGGGACGAGGATTGGCAGGACAACGACGGAGCTTTGAACACGATATCGATGACTCACCCTCGTCTCCCGATCGAACACCCGAGCCGTTTGGTTGTCAATGATTCCGATTGCCTACCTCTACAGCCAGGCATATGGTTAGTATTATTCATTCCATTCCCTCTCTAGAGTACAACTGATAACAATGTAAATTCTTTTATCGACAATCCGTTAATCAGAGTGTTTGATTCGAATGCTAAATGCATAATAACCCATGCCTGAAAACGACTTTGGGATGGTTGCAGGTATTACAAAATTATTGAACAGGCAGATCACATATTGTTCATAGTGAATAGGGAAAGAGCAGGAGTTCAATTTGATCTGATATATGACACCATATTTCAGCGTTGCAGAAAGCATGTTTTTAGAAAGACTCCACCAACTTTACCAAACCAACCTCTCCCTAACTAATTAAAAATGATAATAATAGTCTCTAGCACACACCCCTCTTCTGTTGTTCTCACGCATTTATTAAGTTTGTACACTTGGCAGAAGTACGGACATACGGACCAAGGACAAACGTAAGATTTTATGTTGGGATAAAATTAAATCATCAATAAAAAATTAAAAAATAAATAAATTATACACGAAAATTTAAAAATTTAAAAAGATACAGGCGGTCACCCACCATCCATTCAATCTATTCCTCTTTAACAAAGCAAAAGCAGTCTCAAAATACCTCATTCACCCTACCATTTTCACCCATTTTGGTTGTAATTGTAACATTATTTCATTGTCATCAAGGTGTAGATATGTCATGTGCTTAGTTTATATGTATCATTGGTTTTGTCTTAGATACATTTTGGAAGACTTCCATTCTCATTTTATGTTTTCTTTTTTAATTTATGTGTTCATAAGACATTGCTAACAACTTATACATATATTGTTGTAGTTGCTTGATTGACTCGTACAATTACTTGTCATTGATATGCACTGTGTACGTTATTTTTCTAAAATAAAATTCATAATTTTCTCACCTATTATTTATTTATTTATTTATTTATTTCGTAGGTTAGTATAAAAAAGTTATCTTAAAGAACTATCATGTACGTAAAGATGTACCTCCAAAATGCTTTCACACATATTATCGGGATTTTATTTTAATAAATAATATTATTCAGGTGCTATATTAATAATAATATTCAATATGTATTATTTTACTAGAACCCTATCATAATACCATATTGTTGTTTGGAATTGTGGTGGCCCAATTTCATCCTTGATAACAGACGCATCACGGTGTCGTTTTATTGGAGGGAAAAAGAAGAAAAAAATAGTCGAACAGGTAGACGAAAATGGTATTCAGTAAACTCAAAGTTCTTTTTCAAATCCTTGAGCAATAAACAGCTGCTGCTGGTGTTTTGGCTTTTAGAAACCGTGGTTCTGCGGCGTTCTTTCCTGAATCCGTCGCGTTTTTCTTCTGCACTCAAAGCAGCTTCTTCTAAACCCAAGGTAGATTCTTATTACGCCGAGGAATTGTACTCAATGAACAAGAAGCTTTCTTATTTAGTACGAACTGGAATAATTCACGAAGCGAAGTCCATGTTTGATCAAATGGGGAAAAGAAAAACGGTAACGTGGAATTCGATGATTAGTGGGTATGTGAAACGAAGGGAAATAACGCAGGCTCGAAAGCTATTCGATGAAATGCCCGAAAGAGATACAGTTTCTTGGAACCTTATGATTTCTGGTTGTACTTCATATTTGCGATGCAAATTTCTCGAGGAAGGTAGAAAGTTGTTTGAAAAAATGCCCAGCATAGATGTGATTTCATGGAATACAATGATTAGCGGGTATGCTAGGAATGGGAGGATGGATGAAGCTAAAGAGATGTTTGAGAGTATGCCTGAGAGAAACGTGGTTTCTTGGAATTGATTACCGGATTTTTCGATAATGGTGATACTTTAAGTGCAACTGAGCATTTTAACAGGATGCCTGAAAGAGATTCTGCCACTGTTAATGCATTTTGTGTCTGGTTTAGTTCGAAATGGTGAACTGGACGAAGCTGCCAGGGCTTTGATTGAATGTGGTAATAAAGATGGTTCGAGTGAAATTTGATTGCTTCTTATAATACTTTGATTGCAGCCTATGGTCAGAAGGGCAGGTGGATGATGCCCGAAGACTATTTAATCAAATCCCATTTAAGAGTGTCCAAAGCGAAGGGGGAAATTGGGTGTTTGAAAGAAATGTGGTGACATGGAACTCGATGATTATGTGTTGTGAAGGTAGGAGATATTTTTTCTGCTAGGGAGCTCTTTGATCAAATGGTGGATAGAGATACTATTTCGTGGAATACCATGATCAATGGTTATGTTCAAATTCTAGATATGGAGGAGGCACTAAATCTTTTTAATGCGATGCAAAGCCTGATAACATGTCTTGGAATTCATTGATCTCAGGGTATGCTCAAATGGATAACTTAGAACGTGCTCGTAAATATTTTGAGATGATGCCTCAAAAGCATTTAGTTTCATGGAACACCATGGTAGCAGGGTATGAGATAAACAAGGATTATAAAGGGGCAATTGAGCTTTTCAAACGAATGCAAGCTGAAGGTGAAAAACCTGACAGACATACTTTATCTTCAGTTAGCGTCTCTACTGGGCTTTTGGATCTGCAATTAGGTATGCAGATTCATCAGTTGGTCTCAATGAGTGTAATTCCAGATGTACATATAAAGAACTCTCTCATTACAATGTATTCAAGATGTGGGCACTGACTGAGTCACGGATCATTTTTGATGGGTTGAAATCACCAAAAGATGTAATCTCTTGGAATGCAATAATTGGAGGATATGCATTGCATGGTTATGCTTTAGAGGCTTTAGAATTCTTTGAATCAATGAAGAAGAAGAATGTTCAACCTACTTATATTACATTTATTTCTGTTTTGAGTGCATGTATCCATGCCTGATTAGTTGATGAAGGTTGGGCATATTTTAAGTCAATGGTTAGTGAATATGCCATTGAGCCTCGAATTGAACATTATGCTTCCCTGGTAGACAATGTTGCTCGACATGGCCAACTTGAGGAAGCCATGGATTTAATCAAGAGTATGCCGTTTGAGCCAGATAAGGAAATTTGGGGTGCATTACTTAGTTCTTGTAGGCTTCGTAATAATGTAGAGTTGGCTCGAGTTGCTGCTGAAGCATTGATGAGATTGGAACCTGAAAGTTCAGCTGCATATATATTGTTGTATAATATGTATGCTGAAGCAGGACAGTGGGATGCTGCTGCAGAAGTTAGAGAAATGATGGAAAGAAATAATATCAGAAAACAAGCAGCATTCAGTTTGATAGATTCCTCTCATAGCTGGTTGGAATAATACACTTATTAATTGGCCACATCGATTTTAATCCACAGCTGTTCATAAAACTCCATATTTTTTGTTAACACATTAGTATCAGATGAGCTTTAAAGCTGATTTTACGATTTAGGATTAAAGTGCTTAAATACTAGTAGTATTTATGCTTCTGATTGTTGGAATATACAATATTACGAGTCACTGAATGAAAATGTGAAGAAAGTTCAATATTCAGTCAAAGGCAAGTTGTATCTTTGAGCTTCTTGTTGGATTAAAGGGGATCACTTCTTGTTCGAGTGCACCATTTTTGTTGGTGTGTCGTGATCAATATCTAAGATACAACTTGTAGTGTCATGTGGTACACTACGGTTGCACAATTGCAAGTCATATTGTCGTATTTATGCAATCTAAGCTGATATGGCTTTCGATGATATTACTTGAGCAGGAAGGGGGATGATGAAACCTGTAGTGTACCTAGAACTTGCTCTACATTCAGGTGAAACGGCTGCAACTCCTGTCAAGAATATAATCCTTCAGCAACTTGTCGCAACCGTGCCCTGCTTCTTGCTGTCAATTGGCGTGCTTTGCCTTCAAATCAATTAGTACCCTGACTGGTTACCAAACTTCCTCTTTCTTATATGATCCTGTAATTGCTTCTTCCGCCCTTGCATGTTTCAATACTTGCATTGGAAGAAACGAAATTTGGAGTCTAAAATCACTTTCTATAGGAAGGTGTGGCTACTAGGGTACCACCATTAGGTTATTGCCTCAGCCAAGTTTATTTATGAGGTCACCTGTGTCGGCTGCCAGTATAAAGTCAATCAAATGGAAATTCGCAATTATTAATCGATAATGTTAAATATTACATAATGATCACACAAGAATTTAAATATTTACAAAGCTTCAAGGGCAATTCATATGGGGGCAAACAAATACAAGCATTCATAGTTCATATGGGGACAAGCAAATACAAACATTAATACTTAATAATTTTAGGCCGATGGCTCAATCATTTGATGTTTGATGAATATTTTGCAGACTGCAGAGATCAATTCAAAGCTTCACGATCATCCCATTTTGTATAGGCTTCGTAGCAATGTCGTCGTCCTTGAGCTCCATATCGGTTGCACTCGGAGGAACATCGATCGCCGGTGAGCAATTAAAGAAGCCGTGCGGCTGCATTGCAGATAGCAAAGGATTAACTTAAAAAAATTGCTGTTGTCTACCAAGCTGTAAAATGTGAGTCGACCCCCTCCTATATACAAAGGCTGCCAAAGAAAAAATCAAACTGAATTGGCTTAAAATGCATGGTCTTGTATTACACTCCTCTACGAAGAGCTGCGCTATTTGTTTCGAGTATTTTGTTTAACATGCAAACCTATCACGACAATGAAAGTTGTCTAATGTGTCGACAACATCGTCAAACTAGATAACATTGTGGACGACTTTACGGGTTTATTATCAACCAGAGGTAGAAATGCATATGATCCTATATATATCATATCAGCGTCTGAAAACTAGTGAAGCAAAAGCATTAAATTCATGCAAGGAGTGAAGTTTATAAGGATCAGAGTACATACCATTAGCATAAAGCCGATGTGCTCCACTGGCAGACAGGCCAGTCTTGAGCAGGGGAACATGTGTTACTCCAAAAACATACCTAATACAAGAGGTAAACAACGTAGATGATACATACCAAAGATGCCTATGAATGTGAATAAAGTTACTAGAAGCGGTTTTATAGTTAAATACGAACAAAAACTATTGGTATAGTCCTTAGAGAAAGTTCGTGTCGGAAACTAACCAGAGAACTATATCGGCTTCTTCCAAAGAATGATTCTGCTTAACCCAAGTAGATAATCCTTCACCAACACGCGGATTTTGATTGGGGAACTCTCCTCCCGGGTACATTTCTTCAGCAGCATAGGGTGTGACCCAAAGATTATGTTTCAAGAAAGCAGCTCTTCGAAGGAATTTTGCCTCAGAGCCAGCCAGTGGCAAACAATTTGAACCAGGTACCAGTTTGAAACCTGTTAGCTGCCCGGTCCTGTTGACGTTTCTTGTGTTCCTAATCTAATATCGAAAATATAAAGTATGGTTCAGGGATCAGGTCATCGGGATTAGACAACTAAATGAAGTGTGGGAAAATTCGCTTACAAT